CTAAAATTATTTTTTGACTCAGTTTATCTCAGTTAAGATGACTATTAATCAGTTTGATAACAATATAAAGATAATTTTCTGGATCCATAAAACCATTAATAGCATGCTAGGAATACTACAATTATACATACATTCACTATTGCTAGGATTTTAAAAAACCTGCATATGATTGATTATAAGAGTCAACAAAATTATTTTGTGGACTGTTGTTTTCATATATATTGCATTTATCATTTATGCCAATGAATAGTATCTGTTCCAGAATTTTACAAAGTAAATTTTAACTTTCTTATTTTTTAAAATATAATGGTGTTAACTTTCTAAAAAGAAATATCTATTTAGTTTCAGTAATTCAAAAGGGAAAATACCCATTTTATTTTGAGCTCAAATTTCATCTCAAAATATATAACTATTCAGTTACAATGAAAGGTCTACAGATTTCAATAATTAAAAGAGAAATTCAGTAATTAAATAATGAGAGTTTAAGAAAATGCAAATAACACAAAAAAAAACCCTCTTTGATAGAATTCAGGAGGTGCAGTGAAATTTTGAAATATTTTAGGTAGGAATTTTTCAAGAAAATTTTAGGGAGCACTTAATAGCCAAAAATTAGCATATATACATTTTTATATCAAAACAGAAATATTTAAAAACTATTATAAACAATTTAAAAAGACACATATAAATATAATTTTCTTTCTAAAATGACTTGCATCCTTTATTAAGTATAAAAGTAAACTTTTTAGTTTATTGGCATTGACTAGTAGATTGTACTTTCTTGCATTCACAAGATTAGTTAGTTGACTATGTTCTTTTAATTTATATAGCTAAATATACAATCATAAAATGTGATTATGAATGCACTTAGTAATTGTTTAAATGCAACAACTGTAGAAAAATATATCACATCTTTACAGTAACTAATTCAAGAAAAAACTTAATTCTACTTCTTTCTAGAATCGTGAAACTGGATTTTAAAATTGCGTGAATATGAATTGCGATTTTGGATTTTAAAATCGCGTGAATATGAATCACGATTTTGAATTTTAAAATCACGTGAATAAGAATAGCGCTGTTGGATTTTAAAAACGCGAAAATACAAATAGCGATATTGAATTTTTAAATCGCGTAAATAAGAATCACGATGCGTAATTTTTAGATCACGTGAATGCGAATCGCAATGAGTAATTTTTAAATAGCGTACAAATACGAAAAACGAGATCTGATATTACAACTGCGTGATAACGAATCGCAATATTGGATTTAAAAATGCGTGAATACGAATCGCGACGTTGTATTTTAAACTCGCGAGAATACAGATCGCGATATTAAATTTTTAAATTGAGTGAACAGGAATTGCTAGTACGACTTTTAAGTAGCGTAAAAAAATCGAACACGTAAGTTTTAAATCAGTTAAATACGAAAATCGATGATTGATACTGAAATCGTCTGATTAAAAATCGCGATTTTAGCATATTCCAGCGCAGTTCCTAATATTTAAAATTCCGAAAATCAGCCAAACAAAAAAAAATCAAATATCGGCGATCGAAACGAAATGCTTCGACTCCTTTCCACTCTATAGCGAAAGTCGCGGAAATACAACTATCGTTCTGGCGGGCTTGGGTTTCTCTAATTGGAAATTTTAGTTTTTGGAACATGGTTGGAAACTTTAAAAATTGGGAGAAAAAAAGCGGATTTTCGCTTTTTTGCGGAAGTCTTTCATCCCTGAATAATTATGTGCACTGTACAGTTTCCTAAGAAAAAAAAGCAAGATAATAACCAATAGTATAAGGGAAGAATACCCTCTTTTTTTACAAGATCACGTGCATACGATACTCACTGCTGTACATAATCCAATTGTAGACACGAAACGCATATTCTATATGCATTCCAATAGCCGACAATTAGCCGTATTTAGGAGGCGTGAACGGCAAAATGCTCTCCAATGACTCACGGCGATGCGGATTAATATTTGAAACTGAATTCAGGTTTGTCAAATTTTGGACGTTTTGTCTCAGAATGGCGCAGCTTTGGCAGAAACTGAACTGAATGTCGCAAAATGGGGCAGTTATGCCGTTTTGTCTCAGTTTGTCGCAAATGGCGCAAGCGTAGCACCCCTGCCTTGGGTTCTGGGGTGCAGGACCAGATGTTCCGGTTAGGTGGTCAGCCAAACGCGGAACCCCCAGTGTTTAGTTCCCAAGCATATTTAGTACTCATTTATCAACTCACTGAAGGGATGAAAGGTTAAGTCAACCTTGTCCGGTCCGAGGATCGAACCCAGGACCTGTGGCACGGGGGCACGAAGCACTACCACTCAGTCACCGGTCTTTTATTGATAACTATCATTAAAAATATATAGATGAGTTAATAAGTTTTTTATGCAATAAAAATATTTGAGCTCTAAATTGTTTTTATGTCGACTCAAATATTCAGTTCATTACTCTAGTTAATTAGAATTAATTAAATTTTTTAAAAAAAAATCATATATAAAATTTTGCATCTACCAAAGGGAAATTTTTAATACAGCCTAATGCCATGCATATTACCAGTCATGGTTTCAAGTGACAAAAACTAAAAATTATACATATTTATCACTAACTAATGGATAAACAACAATATATCTTGATTGTCATATAGGCGAATCTTTCTGAACACATTGGATCATGAAAACTATAAAAGGAAATACTAGCATTTATTAATTTCAACGAATTTTGGTTTATGGTAACAAAACTATTATACAAAGGGCGCTCCATAAAAACCAAGAGTAAAATCATAAAAAAATCCAGAATATATTTACAACAAAAAATAAATCCCTCAGATGATATGCAACGGTCCCATCATTCAACCTACTTTTCAAAACAAGAAAGCTTCTTCAAAGAACTGCTGATATGACATTAGAATATGTATCAAATTTTCTGCCTCAGAATTTCTTCTGCAACGTCGGAAACAGCCAAAAATCACACGGTCTGAGATTTGGACTGTTAAAATTTCATTGCATGACCCAGGCCATATGGCCTGTAGTGTATCTACCACTACAAAAATAAAAATCCAATTCACTAGTATATAAGATATGTTAATTCGATTTTATGTTGGGGTTCCCATTCATAGATGAAGGTTGGAATGGTCTATATAAATCCTCTACCCACATTGGTGACCTGGACGTGAAGTGAACATGAATACCTTGACAGAAACTCCCACTTCGATATGAACACACCTACCTTGATGGAAACTTCTACTTCAATTTGAGCACGCCTACTTCGATGGATTGTCCACATTGAACTGTTGACTTGCTACTTGTAACTGCGACTTTATCCACCTCCTCAGACTGTTGCTACTCAGTCTCGATCACACACAACGTCGACCTGCATACTCTCGACTGCTAATGGCAGCACAGGAGCAATCACGACCCTGAACTTAATACAGCTCTCACGGCTTCTCACAAAAGAGCAATGAATCAACTAATGGTAACTCATTCATCGAATTCTATCACAAATATGATTCTGGTGGGTGAATACTGTAGTGTATCTACCACTAAAAAAATATAATTCAAAAAAACAAATTTCTAAGATTTACGAAAGTAAAATCAGTTAAGAGAAATATTTTTAAAAAATAAGATTGTAGCCGCGTTTAGGCCATAAACCTAAGATTGGCTCATTGGGATGGCCATTTATAGATCAATATTCAACGTGAGTACACTGGTAATAGGATTTAATCCTTATGCACTGTGTAGATGAATATTTATAGTTCCTTATGTATACTTCAGAAAATTACATATTTAAAAAAACAAAATATACGATTCAATTAAGAAATGGAAAAAAGTTTAAACCATACATATACAAAAAAAAAACAAGTAGCTTAAAGAAATTCCAAATATTAAAAGAGTATTTTAGAATCTAGCAGATATCAGGTGGAAAGAAATAGCAAATGCACATAGCACATAGAGTGGAGCAGAAAACCGTAGCTATTTGAAAATTTAAAAAATTATAAATGTAAATAAGAATTTTAAAGTGCTCAAAATCTATAAAAGCTGAAGTTTTAATTTCTGACATTCAATACCAGCATTAATAACGCATTCCTATTAATCGCAACAAAAAATTTAAGCAAATTTTAAGAAAAAAAATTATGAACTGGAGATTAAATATTTTCTTGACACATTAAAATCTAATTACATGATAGAGTAAAGAGGAAATTTTTATATCTGTGTGAATTATTTATATGTTGTGGTAAGAAAAATTCTCTTAAATCAAATACAAAATCAGAAATCAAATATTAAAGCATAAATTTAGCCACCATTAGAAAAAAAAATTTCCCTTGAAGTGGAGAAATTGGCATCTCTCAGTGAGTTGAATTATACATATCACAATAACAGTAAAAAAATACAAATATTTATTACTATGATCAAGAGAAAAATACTGCATATAGAAATAGTATCGTGATCTATACCATAATCTTGCCAAGCTCCGAGCAGAGGCCAGCGCGAAATTTAAGAAGAAAAAAAATAATAAATAAAATAAAAAATTTCAACTTTAAATTCCATTTGGCTACTTGGCGATTGCAGTTCATCCGATAGATCATGATACAGAAATATCCCCTTGCAAAATATCCAGTAAAAAAGAAATTGAAGTATCAGAATAAAAATCTGTCTTGACTGCTAAAAACTGTATGAGAAAAACATTCGTGAGTTTTCAACAACTTTAAAAGGCATGATAGTGCATCATGAGTTAATCATTATCATTTACCCAAGTAGACAAGTAAGATTTGAAATTTTCAAATTTTTCCAAAGAAATATCCGCAAAGGTAAAATTAATATTATTCACTTAAATATTTATACAACTCTATTAACCATTTTTCGAAACACAATTAACACTTGTGGTATGACCTTCAGAAATTTCAATTGAATTTTCTATACCTCTGATTAAACGACGTTGTTGCTTTTACACAAAATATGCCATGATTTTTTACAAAACACAGTTGAAAATAAAAAAAATTCATTTACTTACAAATACATGTTGCAAATCAAGACCAATCCAACAATAAAATAAACCCATTCTTCTAAACATTCTGCATTCTTCTAAACATTCTGCATTCTTCTAAATCGTCCTAGTGCGCGTGTGATTAAAATAAACTTAAAACTAAAATTTGCTTATTAAATGCTAGAGTACGCATGCGCAAGAATATCCGATGTTGCCATCTAACTGTAATGTTCCCAGAAAATTCCTGTATTCCCTAAAATGTGAATCTGAAGGAGATCTAGTGGAAGGGTATTCGTATGAGAAATTTCTGCAGGATTTCCAGTCGAAAAGTGAAAATAAGAGCAAGATGTCCCTTGGAATTCCCATAATTATACATTTCTTCCCTCGAACGACACATTTGGGAACGGTTTTGAAAGATGGTTACAATGTGGAGTGTTCCTTACCAACATTTGACACAGCTTTTTTATCTCTTATTCAACTAGCCACCTCGGCACAGGTAATATGGCTATACCGAGGATGTCTTATTTCCATCCAATACAAAACGCTTTCTCAATGCATGTTGACACAGGCTTTGCAAAACTGAAACATAAGACTTCACAGCACTTTTTGGAGCCACAGCATGCTGATTACAACTTCATAATCAGAGAAAAACCGACCAGGTGGCCGAGTGGTTAGCGTGCCTCGACTGCGAAGCCAATGGCTGCGGGTTCGAATCCCGCTCTGGGTGTGTCTCTACGTGTTGTCTTTTGTTGTGTGTGATGTGTGAATGTGGCACACCAAAACATTTTTCCCATAACCTTCTTTTATTAATTTAACTGTTTCTTAAGCTGTTTTGCCCTAGCGATAGAAAAATTTTATGACATAACGCATTTTGTTTGTTGACTCTGAACCCACCATTTCTGCACAGGGAAATAAAAACAGATCTTCAAACAAGCACCGAACTAGGAACATAAAATCGTTGTTTAAAATAATTATAAATATTCGATTAACATTTCGTTTATTATATTGATATACAACATAGATTTGCAGGCTTGTGTGCTCAATTAAGGCTTATAAACCTTTGTCAAGCAGAAGAACAGGTAGCACAATATAGAGAAGGACATCACAAAGAATGCATCCAGGGTTAAGGCGGGATTCGAACCCACCACCTCCACGCTTATTAACATTTTGATAAGATAGTCAGAACTTCTTTTCAGTTCCGCCGTGTTGCCACAACGTAAAAATATAATTCTCAATTTTTATGAAATGCCCTTTGCAACTTGATCACCAGAAATTGCTTTTATTATAACTGTATCAATTCCTCTACATTCGTATCAATGAGTTCATAGTTTATTGTATTTTCGCAAAAAACAATAAATACTTAGTAAAATTACATTCAAAATCTAAGTTTTTAATGTTAAGTAAGGAAATTGTGAAAATAATTATCAACAAAGAGAAACTAAATCAATCAATTGAAATTTTTCCAATTTGCAACTTAAACCTTTTAAAAATGGACAAGAATTTTTATTTGATTGAAAAGAATCAATAAGTAAAATGTAATGGTACAAAATAGCTATCAAAGATATGAGAAAAACTGAAGAGAATACTTGAGATTTCTACTTGTTTTAGTTTATTGAAATCACAATATAATTAAAAGTTAAGGATATTTGCAAAGATTGATGAAAGAAGCTAATAAGATTATAAGTTTACGTTGAAAGAAATAAATTTAATTAAAAGCAGACAATAGACCTATTTAAGAAGATTTATTGCTAAGCTTTAAATTGTTATTTAACAACACCATAAGAATTATCTCAAAGATTCTTTGTTTTTTGAAAATATGCATAACAAAGATTTTAAATATAATCACACGGGATTAACAAAGCTATTCAGAAAGTTTCAGCATTTCATCTATTTTGATTTTAAAATGAATATTTCACTTAATTGCATTATTAAGTGCTTCTTTTGTTTTAATGACAAATGGAAAATATTATCATAAACACAAAGTTTGTTTTACAAAAAGGTTTTAAAATTGTAAATAGAATTTTAAAAAAATAAATAGTACATGAAATAACAAAGTAATTTAATTTTCTAAATCGTTCATTGGTTAAAGAACACGCTTCAATAGTTTCATGTTCTTAAAATTTAATAAATTAAAATGATATATAAATTAAAATAATAAATAAATAATGCATATGGAGGCTACGTAATAGTTTTAACAACTAGATGCTTGCATTAAATGAACATTTTTAGAGTTAATGATAGAACATTTATTGAGTATCATTAATAAGTTCAAAATTTTTATTTAGATTTTTTTAGTGTCAAATTCTAAACAAAGCATACCATAACATAATGATTTAGATTTTAATATCTTCTCACCTTTCGTTTTAAAATTAAAACATTAGCCAAATTCATTATCTTCCTTATTCACTGCTGGATGATTAAGAATATTTTGAAAAACATTCGAGCTACATACTGGGAGAAAAATTTTTGAGACGATATGTTTTTCGGTTCTAACTTTTTCTGTAAGCAAAATTTCTTAATTTTGCGATTTAGTAATTTGTAGTTCTAATGAAGAACATCCTACATGAGGAAAAATCGATTTGAAAATTTTTAATTTAACAAACACAAAATGAGAATTTGAAAGTTTTGAAATGGTCTAACACAATCCACGTTTTTAATCCTTAACTTTAATGTTAATTTCGCTATAGCTCAATAGTTTGAGTAGAAGTACTACATGCAAATTATATAGGTTTGAATCCAGTTTCTACCTTTTGAATAATGATTTTGTTATTCCATATGAGCCGTATGCAATTGGTTACTTTGCGCAGATATGAAAGTTAGCTTTTCTTACGTTTCTTACATTTCTAGAATGTTCTGGAATGCTTTGTATATAAAGCTGGGAATTTATTGTACGCAAAACTAGCTTACAGCAGCCTCGTTGCATGAGACTTAGAATTTTATTTCCTAAATGAAAATATTGGTGTTGGCTGGGATAGCCTGGTCGATAGGGCGTTGGACCCATGCCTGAGAGTTCATGGGTTCGAACCCGGCCATCCAAAGACTCTCTGTGCAGTAAATGGTGAGTGATGCACGTTAAATCTTCCATGTTCCCATAACAAATCAAAACTTCTGGGGGTACTGAGTTGGAGTTTGATCGTTTTCTGATTCAGGTCTGTTAAAATTACGATCTGTGGATGAATGAATGGGTGTATGAATGGGTTCAACCTATTACAAGGTGTAACGTATGGGTGTGGCAGAAGTCGAATTCTTGACCATAGATGGCACCACTGGAAAACAAGGACAATCGCCCCCCTCTGCCTCAACAGGCATACGTCAACAACAACAAATATTGGTGTTAATTTTATCAGCTTCAGAATGAAGAAATACGCTTTTGGCTACTCGTCTTAAGATTGTTAAAAAAAAGCTGGATTTCATATTCTGCAAACACCACTAGGTTTGGAATTCCAAAATCAAATGTTGGCCACATAGTGGTAGGATGGAAAAAGTGTGCACGATTCTCTTAGTTCTAGTTGCTCCCCTAAAGCTACAAATTACTAAATTACGTAATGAAGAAATTTTGCTTACAGAAAAATCTATCGTCTCAAAAGGTTTGCTCCCTTCTGTAATGCCAGTTAAGTGTGCACAGTATTTGTTTGTTTGATAAGCTCTTTCATGCAGTAAGCATGTGCCATTTAAAGTAACAAATAATCATGAATAATGATTGTGACGCCACAATTGGTATCACTTTTTTTCTACCATTTAAAATATCTTTAATTACATAAACTTATTTTTCTAATCATATTAATCTAATTATATTTAAATTAAATCAATAAGTTGATCTTTATAACAGCGAGCATAAATTTTTTTATTATTTTCTTATCGATCAGTGTAACGGCTAACTTTTTATTTCAACACTAATGTAAACTCATTAAATCACGGCCGCGCCTAATCGAAAACAAAAGTCTATTTATAACTCTTTATTATTATTTTCTTAGCTCAAATATGTTTCAGTTACAGGGTTATTATAATTCCAGCAGTGCAGCAGCTTTGATTTATGAAGCTGATTTCTACCGAGCTCAAAAGTCAGTTCGCTACTGAATATGGGAAAATTTTTATTTAATTCTCACCAACATTTCACTGTGGGCCAGAAGACCATGATCTTTGGCCAAAAGTCAAAAATTAAATTTTTAACTAAAATATGTGGAGACAGTTTTAATATAGCCCAAATTAAGCATTCCTAATCATTCCAAACATTATAATTTACTTTTTGAACCGACGAGAGTACAAAGTAATGAAAAATATGTTTAAAATTTTTTTTTTAAATTTAGCTTTTACATTTTTATTTCAGAAATATATATAAGAAATTCACCTAACTGTTACATTTTTATCAGAGTTATTAGTCTGAAATTATAGTAAAATTTTTCAATTTGTTGGATTAGTTAATACTCTTGACAAACTTATAGTTTATGTCTTATCATTTGACTTACAATGTTTGAATGACTTTTGAATGTTTGAATGACTTTTGAAACTTAGTTCCAAAAACTTCCACGAACGAGTTAATTAGCTAAACTTTTTTTTGCTGCCTTCTTTGATGTTTCTTCATTCGAAAAAATCTGCCCCATTTTGCCCGAATTACAAAGGTGGACTAAATATACCAAAGAACAAAAATTATGTTTTTTTTTTCATGTTTTCGCGTTATTTTGTAATATTACTTCGGAAATATAATTTGCTTTTCATTTTCAATATAAAATTACGAAAATTATTATGTTTTCATTACTATATTTAATTATTTAAATATACTATATTATTATTTTTTATTTTTGTTTGCCATATTTCAGCTGCCATTTTGATTTTTTGGGGTATTTTTACTGTATTTCAAAATTTCACCTATGAATTCAATTTACCTGCGCATAAAAACCCCTAAATAAAAAAACCCAAATTTTGAAACAAATTTTATCGAAATATTAATTTTGGCCACCAAACCTTGGATGCTGACCCACTGTGCATTTTAAGAATCTCAACTTACACCCTCAATTCCAAACTAACATTGATTTTCAAAACAGAAAGGATTTTCATAGAATATTTATTGTCCCACCAGATCACTCTATCGTTAAAAGTAAGAATTGAGATGAAGGTATTAAATATACATTTTTGAATACAATATTTTTTTGTAATT